TGATAATCATTTTATTTATATGCTCTACGACATTGTCTCCCTCTTGCATACGACAAGAATTATACTTATGCAAGAGTAGTTGGATGTTAACTTCAGAAGCAGTGTCGTATTTTTCTTTTATTGCATTCCACATGTCCATGAAAGTTTTATAAGTTTCAAAAACTTTGATTAAATTATCTTCCATGAACATGAGCATAAGACTTTTCGCCTTTTTGTCTTTCGACTTCCACTGTTCAAACCCTTTCTTTTCTTCAAGTGTAGATTTATCAGTAAGAGTTAGAGCAGTGGTTTCGATTATATCATCAATATTGTCATGAATAAGAGCATACCCTATTTTTCTATGTCACATATCATAATTACTGCCATTGAATTTGTTCATTTTTCCTAGTTCTGATAGAACGAGTTTACTAGCCATTCGGTAGAGAACTAAAACTAAATTCAATTTAAATTTGTATAAGGTTGATATTTTGACAAATACACAAAAAAATAGATAAATAAATAAATTAATTAAAATGAACCTGATTTTTGCGAGCTGATGAAAGAGGCTCCAATTTGAGCGAGTTTGTCACTTAGCGATGTTGACCGAAGAATCTATTGTCGAAGTTTTAGCGTCGTTTCTGACTGGATATGGAGATGATCTGCTCTGTGAAATCAGCCTCACGCGGTGCCCTCCACTCCAAGAGATAATTGACCTACACCTTCACTTGGCCCACAAAAATTAAGTACTAATCACCCAAGCCCAACTACAAGGCCCAAGTCCAACAACTTTACAACCCCACTCCGTTAAAGCTGGCTCACTGTCAATTTCCTTTTATTATTCCCTCTTCTCCCCCAAAAATAACTTTCTTTTCTATCTCAAAAAATCAACTCAGATCTGATCGATCTAAAAAATCTCCGTCTTCACCTTGATCTCAAGCTTGACCAATGGCCTCCGATCTCCACTTTCTCGAGCTCCAGCTTCACCTTCGATCACCTCTGGCCTCCGATCTACTTCAGTTGCAGCATGTCCGTCGTCAACATCGTCGATCGCAGCGGAGTCGTTGTCGTGGTCGTCGATCGTAGCGGAATCGTCGAGTCGTCTTCGTCGTCGATCGAAGCAGTAGAATCACAGCAGAGTCGTCGTCGATCGTCGAGGCAGCCGTTGAGCGAAGCAGTCGTCGTCGAAGTTCGAACGCAGAGCTCGAGATGGCGACGCACAGGGAGTTGAGGATCGAAACGTTGGACGCTGCTCTGATACCAGTGTTTGAACTCAGAGAAGAAGGAAGAACAGATTTTTGAGGGGGGCTCCGGTAACAGGTTAGGGTTTGATTTTGTTTCTTTTTGTTGTATTTTTCTCAAGGAGAATACTCCTCTTTATATAGGAGCCAGAACCCATTATCTTCACCCCCTCATAACTGCTCCTGAGAGAATTTCTCTCAACAAACCCAATTTCTCTCCACGATCCACAATTCTCTCTACTGAGAATCGTTGATTTGGTCATCTTAGACCAGGTCAAGCTAACAGACGTTGTGTCTTCAATCTCTTTCACTTAGCAAGACAGTGAATAATACAAAAACTATTTCTTTTTTTATATCAAGATTTTAAGGTAAACTCACATCAGTAAGAAATTGACTAGAAAAATGGCGCAATCTATATGATTGTTTATGAGATTTGATAGTATGAGGTGACAGCTCACTTAATAAAATGAGCTATTTTTTGCACTCCATGCGGAAGCGTGTTGACCGCACGGCATGCCTGCGGTCGACCGGCCAGAAAGCTGATTTTCAGCTCTGTAAAACAATGCACTTTCGGTCGACCGCACAGCCTTGATCGATCGACCGATCAGAACAGGGTTTTTGGACCCTGTATTGTGCACGAGATCGATCGACCGACCTATGCCATTCGGTCGACCGACTCGCAACAAAGTTGTAGCCTCAGTTTTCCCTCATCTTCTTCGTCGTTCTCTTCACTATTAAGACATGGTTTTGTGAGACTAGCAATTTTTGATGTGATAAGTCGTCATCTCATGCCATTTTTTCCTTGTTGATAATCTCCTTCGACTTTCGAGCGGTGCATCTCAATTATTTTTCTTTGGAGTTAATGGTGTCATCTCAAATGTGCTCATCAATTAGGACCCTCAATAGATTATGGCTGGTACGTGCCAACTACTTACAACTGGCTGTTGATGACTTGTGAAATATCTATTTACGGCACAAATTAGTAACTTAATTAATTAATAAATAAAACCATTTAGCCTAAATGTTTGTAAAACTAATGAAGTAGAGAAGAAAAGTAGACGAGAAGTAGAGAGAAATTTTATTTCATTTGTTCTTCATTGCTATCACAGATTGAGGTAGGAATACCTCTATTTATATACAAACTAAGATGATGATACATGAATCATATTAATTATTCATTCATGAACTTATTCTTTCAAGAACATGCATTGTGTTGTTCTAGGAAGAAGATTAATGTACTAGGGGAATATCAACTTCTTGAAAAACTAAATGGACATCCACATTATTTCATAACACTCCCCCTTGGATGTCCAACATTACACAAAGAATATGCCTCGTTAAAACCTTACTAGGAAAAAAATCATAGTGAAGGAAAAAGAGTACACTATTCTTGCGTATTAGTTTCTCCCCCTGATTCAAATATCATTTGAGATCTTTCAACCGATGCATTCCAATATTTTTTACCAATTTCTCAAAAGTTACAGTCGACAATGCCTTGGTGAATAAATCTGTCAGATTATCACTCGATCGAATTTGTTGTACAACGATTTCACCATTCTTTTGCAAATCATGTGTAAAGAAGGATTTTGGTGAAATATGTTTCGTTCTATCTCCTTTAATATATCCTCCTTTTAATTGAGCTATACAAGCTGCATTGTCTTCAAACAAAATAATCAGAGGATTTTCATTTTCAGGAGACAATCCACTATTCTTCCGGATATAGTGGATCATTGATCTTAGCCAAATACATTCTCGACTGGCCTCATGAATTGTAATTATTTTAGCATGATTCGAAGAAGTGGCAGCAATTGATTGTTTCGTAGATCGCCATGAAATAGCGGCGTTACCACATATAAATAAAAAACCAGTTTGAGACATTGCTTTATGCAGGTCAGATAAATACCCAACATCAGCATATCCAAGCAATTCACGTCGATAATTATAAGAATAAAATAAGCCAAGATCAATTGTTCCTTGGAGATAGCAAAAAATATGCTTTATACCGTTCCAATGTTGTTTTGTAGGAGATGAACCAAATCTTGCTAATAAATTCACAGAAAATAATATATCTGATCTTGTACAATTAGCAAGATACATTAGTGCACCTATTGCACTAAGATATGGTACTTCGGGACCAAGAATATCTTTATCTTCTTCTTTTGGTCTAAAAGGATCCTTAGCAGGATCAAGTGACCTGACAACCATTGGGGTACTTAATGGATGTGCTTTATCCATGTAGAACCGTTTTAATACCTTCTGGATATAAGCAGTTTGGTGAACAAAAATCACATTTTCTAAATGCTCAATTTGTAAACCAAGGCAAAATTTAGTTTTACCAAAATCTTTGATCTCAAATTCTTTCTTCAAATATTCTATCGCCTTTTGGAGCTCTTCAGGAGTTTCAATCAGATTAAGATCATCAACATATACAACAACGATTATAAAATTTGACCCATTCCTCTTTATGAAAACACATGGACATATATGGTCATTTGTATAACATTCTTTGACTAAACAGTCACTAAGACGATTATACCATATTCGTCCAGAATGCTTGAGTCCATACAAAGATCTTTACAACTTAATGGAGTACATTTCTCTAGAATTTGATTTACATGCTTCAGGCATGCTAAATCCTTAAGGGATGTTCATATAGATATCATTATCTAATGTTCCATATAAATAAGCAGTGACTACGTCCATCAGACGCATATCAAGTTTTTCATGTACTGCTAAACTCACAAGATATCTAAATGTAATTTCATCAATTACTGGAGAATATGTCTCATCATAATCAAATCCCGGTCTTTGTGAAAATCCTTGGGCTAAAGTCTTGCTTTATATCTCACAGTTTTATTCTTCTCATTTCTTTTCCTCACAAATACCCATTTACATCCTACTGGCTTTACACCTTCAGGTGTTTGGACTACAAATCCAAAAACTTTTCGTTTAGCCAGTGAATCTAATTCAAATTGGATGCATCTTTTCATTTTGACCAATCATTTCTTCGCCGATATTCATCGACCGATCTGGGTTCATGATCCTCGTCATCTTCCATAATATCAAGTGCTATATTATATGCAAGTGCATTATCGACAATTACTTCTCTTCGGTTCCAACTCTTAACAAAATTTATTGAAGTTTCATTTTCTTCAGGAGTTGGCTCTTCAAGAGCGACCTCTTCAGGAGGTTGAATTTTATCATTAGCAATATTTTGATCATTCGATCCTCTTTTCTTTTGAGGATTCTTATCTTTGGAACCAAGAGGTCTACCACGCTTCAGGCGTGCTTTATATTTATTAGCACTTTTAATTTGTCCTTCTGGAATATCCTTTTAATCGGAGCATTTTCTGCTGGAATATGCGATTTAGTAATTCTTCTAGAATCACTAAAAGCATCCGGTAATTGATTTGCAATTTTTTGTAAATATACAATCCTTTGAACTTCCAGTTCACATTCTTTTGTATGAGGATCAAGAAAGTCTAATGATATTTTCTAAGTAATTTCCTTTTTCGGTTGATCTTTACCTCCCCCTAATGTCAGGAAATGTGATTCATCAAAATAACAATCTACAAATCATGCAGTAAATAAATCACCTATTAATGGTTTAACATCTTTAATTATAGAAGGTGATTCATACCCGACATATATCCCAAATCTTCTTTGAGAGCCCATTTTAGTACATTGAGGCGGTGCAATAGGAACATATACCGCACAACCAAAAATTCTTAAATAAGAAATATTAGGCTCGTGACCAAGAACTAATTGTAAGGGAGAATAAACATGATAACTTGTGCTGAAACAAGAATTTGGTGTAGATTAGACAGGATCCTTGTGAATGAGGAATGGATTCAATCTTTTACTTCTAGCCAAGTGGAGTATCTTGAACCAATTTGCTCAGATCATTCTCCTGCATTGATATCAATTGAGGATGAAAATTTTGAGGGGAAAAAACCTTTTAAAATTTTCAAAATGTGGACAAAGCATTCAGATTTTCTTACTGTGGTTAAGTCAGTTTGGGAGCTGGATATTAGAGGCTACAGAATGTATAAATTTTATTCAAAACTTAAAGCTCTCAAACCTGCATTAAAGGATTTGAATAGAAAGCACTTCATGAACATTAGTGAACAAGTTATAAGAGCAAAGTAGGAGGTGTCTGAAATTCAAAGACAATTGTGCACTGACCTCTTCAATTCCTCTCTGATACTGAAAGAAAGAGAGGCTATAAATAAATATGACAAGCTCTTAAACTGTGAAATATCCTTCTATAGGCAAAAAGCCAATATCAAATGGGATTTGTATGGAGATAAGTGTTCACAATTTTTCCATTCAATGATGAAAGCAAGAAGACATCATAATAGAGTTCTTTCAATATATTCTGAAAATGGTGAAAGAATTACAGAGATGCCCAGAAAAGTTGATGAATTTGTTGGATATTACAAAAAATTATTAGGGTCTTCTACTACAACTGATATTCCAGACCCAGAGGTGATCTCTAATGACCCTATTCTTTCTTCCTCACAAAGAGATGGCTTATGTTCTCCTATTTCCAGAGAGGAGATAAAACTTGCAATTTTCTCAATGCCTGATGGGAAAGCACCTGGACCTGATGGCTTCAATGCCTCCTTCTTCAAAGCTGCTTGGAGTGTAATCAGTGAAGACCCGTTCTTAGCCGTGGAAGAGTTTTTTCAAACTGGTAAATTACTTGGTGCTATTAATGCAACAGGCATCACTCTGGTACCAAAAACTCTTAACCCAAAAACCCCTTCTGATTTCCGCCCGATATCTTGTTGCAATTGCATTTATAAAATCATTACTAAAATTCTAGCTAGCAGAATTCAGAATGTCATGGGGTTTCTAATCAGTGATGCTCAAAGTGCATTTGTCAAGGGTAGAAGTATCTCAAATAATATTTTGTTAGCCCATGAACTCATCAAGCATTATGGAGGAAAAATACTTCACCAAGAGCTATTCTTAATATTGATCTTAGAAAAACATTTGATACCATTGATTGGAGTTTCATTAAATCAATGCTTATGGGGCTGGGCTTTCCTGATATGATGATCATGTGGATAATGGAGTACATTACAACCCCCAAATTCTCCTTGTCACTTAATGAATCTCTTCATGGATTTTTTTCAAGGCTCGAGAGGGTTAAGACAAGGAGATCCTCTATCTCCTTATCTTTTTGTTTTGGGCATGGAATATTTATCTCGAAAGCTTGGTACACTTTAAAATGATGGATTGTTCAAATATCACCCTAAATGCTCCAGGTTAAAGATAACACACCTATTCTTTGCTGATGATTTGTTGTTGTTTGCAAGGGCTGATATGAACTCTATTTCCAAAATCTTCAATTGCCTTCAGGAGTTAAGTCATGTATCTGGCTTAGACAAAAACCCAAATAAATGTTCAGTTTATATGAGCGGTATTGATGATTCTCTTAAGTAACAAATATGCTCTTATTTGAACTTCTCTGAAGGTATTCTACCAGTGAGATATCTTGGTGTGCCATTGATATCAAAAAGGCTCTCTTGTTTGGATTGTTCTGCACTGCTCAGTAGAATCTCTGAGAAATTCCAAAATTGGCAAAAGAGGGAGGTGTTATCATATGCCGAGAGATTACAATTGATCAAATCTGTCATCTTGGGAATTCATATATTCTGGACAAATAATTACATTTTGCCAAGTAAAGTTCTTCGTAAGATTGACAACTTATGCTCTGAGTTTCTATGGAATCGGAAAATTCCTCTTGTCTCATGGAATTCAGTTTGTCAAAATAAAAAACAAGGAGGTTTGGGTGTGTTTTCTGCAAGAATTTGGAATCAAGCTGCTGCTATCAAGATTATGTGGTTAATACATCTCAAAAAGGATCATCTGTGGGTCAAATGGGTACATGGTAACTATTTGAGTCATGCTAATGTTTGGCAGGTGCAAGTTAAAGTAAACGATTCATGGATGTGGAAGCAAATTATAAAGATGAGAGATATGTTGATTGGTAAGCTGGGGAGCATTGAGAATCTGAAGAATTTAATTGATAGCTACTGTGTAAATGGAAAATTTGTTGTTTCGGCAGTTTATGAAAAACTGAATCATTCTTCTCAGCAGGTAGCATGGTCAGCTACTGTATGGGATAGTCTTCATTATCCCAAGCATTCTTTCATCTTGTGGTTAGTTGCCCATTCTAGGTTGCTAACACAGGAGAGACTTTGTCGTATGAACATCATCAATACTAATAGGTGTGTGCTATGTTCTAATCAGCTGGAAACATGCCAACACCTTTTCTTTGACTGTTAGTACAGTGCTAGTGTTTGGAACAAGGTCATGGATTGATTGAAGTTCAATTGGAGATCTTGTGATTAGGAGCACATTATAGATTGGTACAGTTGTAGACTTTGAAGAAAGAATTTTACAAAAAATTTAAAAAGAATGGCGCTCTCTGTTTCAGTATATCAGATATGACAAGAGAGAAACTTGAGGATATTTCAAAGCAAAATGAGACAACCTGATCAACTGCTTCGTGTGATAAAAATCTCCATTTTCTCTAAAATTTTGAATGATGATTTTCCAGAGTATGTAAAGGAAAGTATTGTGAGATTGTAATTTTGTAATCTTTTGGCTAGTTGAGATCCAGACTATCTGGAATTGTTAAGTGCTATGTAATGTTCACACTTGGTAATGAATAAAATCATTTCCATTGACCAAAAAAAAAATATGATAACTTGTCGGTCTAATTCTCATAATTATTGCTGCATGTAATATAACATATCCCTAAGCAGATAAAGGAAGTTTAGACCTCATTAATAATGGTCTTGCAATTAATTGAAGCCGTTTAATAAATGATTCGGCTAGACCATTTTGTGTATGAACATGAGCTACATGATGTTCAAAACTTATCTTAATAGTCATGCAATAATCATCAAAGGCATGTGATGAATATTCACTATCATTATCTAGACGAATTTTCTTAATGGGATAATCAGGAAATTGTGCTCATAATTTAATTATCTGAGCAAGCAATCTCGCAAATGCTAGGTTGCGACTAGATAATAAACTTATATGTGACCATCTTGTTGATGCATCAATTAGTACCATAAAATATCTAAATGGCCCACATATATCACCATGAATTCGTTCTAGAAATGCAGGGGATTCAGTTTCCACTTTCGTTGGTGATGGTCTAACAATTAACTTCCCTTGGGAGCAGGCAACACATGAGAATTCATTAGAATTTAGTATTTTTTTGATTTTTCATTGAACGACCATGTGAATTTGTAATTATTCGCCTCATCATTATAGAACCAGGATGTCCAAGGCGATTATGCCAAATCATAAAATCATTGGGGTTAGTAAACTTCTGGTGTTCAAGGTGATACATTTCAGCTGCACTTATTTTTGTATAATATAAACCAGAAGATAGAGAAGACAGCTTTTCTAATACGCATTTGTTCTCAAAAATGGTATTTGTAATCAATAAATATTAACTATTTGTCTCATTCATCTCGATATGATATCCATTTCGGCAGATATCTTTAAAACTTAGCAAATTTCTTCGAGACTTTATCGAGAATAGTGCATTATTTATGATAATTTTAGTTCCTTCGGGGAGAAATACAGTGGCTCTTCTGGAGCCCTCAATCAATTTAGCACTACCACTTATTGTGTTAACATTTGTTTCTTCCATTTTTAAATGAGAAAAATACTTCATGTTTTTAAGTATAGTGTGTGTAGTAGCACTATCAATAAGACAAGTATTATCATCACCATTGTTTGATCTCAAATATTTGACATCCATTTCTTCTTCATGAAGAAATGACAAAGAAAATTACAAATAAAAGTAAATATCAATAAAGTTCATAAATTATAAAATTCATAAAGAAAATTACATAAAAGATGCGAAAGTAACAAAATTTAAAATATCAGGTATTTGTCATGAGATCATTTCGTAACTTAAGGTTGCTCAAGGAAATCAACTACATCGAGGTGTGTGATATCATCAAGATCATCATAAACATTGTTTTGATTAATAAAATTTATCTTGGTATTTTTGCCTTTCCCTTTTAATGATGCCTGATAGAAGTCAACAAGATGTTTTGTTGTACGACAGGTATGGGACCAATGACCTTCTATTCCACACCAGTAGCATATTTCCTCATAATGTTTCTTTTCTTCACTTTTCTTATCATTATTATTGTCCCATTTCTGGGAGTTGTTTTGTCTTCTTCCACGGCTATGATCAATGTGATTATAAGGCACATATCTGCCACGACCTTGATTTTGAAATTTAGTTGCATTCGCTTCAGGGAATGAGCTAGAACCAGTAGGTCGGGATTCATGATTTTTTCAATAATAATTCATTATTTTGTTCAGCCAAAAGGAGGCATGAAATCAATTCAGAGTATTTCTTAAATCCTCTCTCTCTCTCGATATTGCTGTTGTAGGAGCATATTCGAGGCATGAAAAATGGAGAATGTTTTTTCTAACATATCGTCATCAGTGATATTTTCTCCACACAATTACAATTGAGAGGTAATTTTATACATTACAAAATTATACTCACTGATTGATTTAAAATATTATAGCCTTAAGTGAAGTCAGTCATACCGGGCTTTTAGGAGCACGACTAACTTCAGGTGGTCAAATCTTTCCTTCAAATTATTCCACATAGTAAGTGGATCTTTCACAGTTAGATATTCAGTTTTTATTCCTTCATCCAAATGATAGCAAAGGAAAATCATAGCTTTGGCACGGTCTTGATTTGATGTCTTATTTTCTTCTATAATAGTATTTTTAAGACCCATTGCAGCAAGATGTATTTTAACATCTAACATCCAAGATAAGTAGTTCTTTCCAGAAATATCAAAAGGCATAGATTCTTGTTTATAAGGTTAGTCATAGTGAAAAATAAATTGTATTGGAAAGAGAAAATTTACCTTGAAAGTTTATCCAAAATATCAACATGTGCCCAACGATGAATCTAATGGACTTGAAGAAGATTGTTTCAATGGTAGAGTCTCGTGCTGATAACGTGTTGTAAAACTAATGAAGTAGAGAAGAAAAGTAGACGAGAAGTAGAGAGAATTTTTATTTCATTTGTTCTTCATTATTATCACAAAGTGAGGTAGGAATACCTCTATTTATATACAAACTAAGATGATGATACATGAATCATATTAATTACTCATTCATGGACTTAATCTTTCAAGAACATGCATTGTGTTGTTCTAGGAAGAAGATTAATGTACTAGGGGAATATCAACTTCTTGAGAAACTAAATGGACATCCACATTATTTCATAATAATAAAGAACTAATTAGTGTTATCTGACGACAGAAGATTTTGCAGAATCCTAAAAAGGGTTGACGAGGATCTCCGAAGATTTCACACCTGTTTTTATTAATATATTAATAAACTTTATTTTTATAATGAACAAGAGATTCAGTGTCAATTTTCTCTTAGGCTAAGTATCATAAAACCCTTCATAACTTTCGATGATCATCAGAAAAACCCCTTTAACTTTTAAAATATCAGAGAACGCCCTTTAAGTTTAGTGGTTATCGGAAGGTCTCTTTAACTTTGAGATTTTATCAGAAAACCCCCATAATGTAAGGTGCTTTTTTGATAAAATCTCAAAGTTAAAGGAGGCTTTCTCCAGTTAAAACCTGAGAGTGACAGAAAGTTTTTGTGATAAACCTTATGCTTAAGGGGATTTTACTGATATCTTGAAAGTTAAAAGAGGGTTTTCTTATAATCGTTCAAAATTCTGATATTTACCCTTTATCGTACTATAGCTAGGACAAATTATAAGCTCATCATGATTGTGATGAGACTAAAAAAAAAATTTGTTTTTCCCTATTTGTCTTCTTCGTGCTTTTTATCAAAGCTATTCATGTCCTTACACGCATAAATGTAACTAAGCAATGATATCTCTACTTTTCTTAGAGATGGAGACTGTACAAATTATTCCATATAAAAAGCAACCCCACTAAGCATCTGACTCAAAAGAATGCACATAAAGTATATTTTTCCTTTAGAAGACAGATCAAAAGAACACCAAGAGCATCTTTGGTTCATGTATATACCACACAATTCAATCTTTTTAAGTCATTTAATGATTAATTTCGAGGAGATAAGATACTTTGTGCAAACTATCAAGTCCTTGGCAATGTACTACACCCAAAATCATTGCAAAATTCACCAATTTACGACATAGATTAGATAACCAATCATTTGAGTCCTTTCATGACAAATGCAAACCTCTGCAGCAACATCACCTTATATGATATAATTTTCGAAGATCATTTATATTATTAACACTCTTAATTCTAATTCACCTGAGAATATATCGACATTCTGCAACAAGGACACTGAGAATTACTCTCAAGCCACGGCATCGCGCAGTTCCAATGGAAGTGATGCGCGCACGGAAGATGAACCAGGATATCACCGGTCTTGAAGTTCTCTAGGCAGACGGCGCATTCGCTTTGTTCTGAGGATTTCCATCCTAGCTTGCTCCAACTGAACTTCCTCGCGCTTTTCTTTAGGGAAAACACTTCTCTTTGGATGTTGCCGAGCATCATAGTTGATCTTAATCCATTGCTACTATCTCCGCCTCCTGCGCTATTGTGCCTGAAATTTGAAAAAGAGAGCATAAATCTAAGAAAGTGATAAAATTTTGTATGCATGCCTGTCGATGATGAAGAATTTCGAGATCGATCACAGAAGAGACTTTCGACGCATGAAACTCTCTGACAACAGAAAGTGAGGGGTAAGCCAATTTTTGGTCTTAAACTGGGCCAGGATTGTTCCACCTCCTCCAGTCTATGCCAAACTTGATTTAAGAAAGTTGCCAGAAACAATCTAACAAAGGAAAGCAAACTATTTTAGTGTCGACCCAAACTAATTTTCTACTTAAAGTACGTGTATCTATCATTCTTTCAAGTGTTCACAATGTGATATTATTACTTATAAGAATTTTTAGCCCTCAACCGATACAAAATTAGTCGTATACCCCCCTATTCCATAAGTGTTTAGGTATCATGAGTCCTCCACGTCCTTTTGGGTACCACACAGAAAGGATTAAGAAGAAATCACGAGCATCCCTTCAGATGCAATATAGGTCTCCTGATAAAATTTACACAAAACAAATTAGAAACCGAATTTCTAATAAATACCCATGAATACCCGTCCAAATTAATTAAAAGGTTTCATAATTTTGACGACCAGATATCTCGCGAATTCCAAGAGAAGCTTTTCGATCAACGGGGCAGTAAAAATTAATGGGTTTCTTCTCTGATAAAAAGTACTTAATTAAACATATGATCGAGCACCTCTTGATCTCTGTAGATCTCAGTTGATTCCTCAATCTCCCGTCCAACCTCTCCTTCGCCCCTCGAGCCACCTCCCCAAGCTCTCCACCGTGAAATCCTTTACTAACGCCGCTCCTTGCCTGCTCGTGAATTTACATACGTCCCAAATAATCAATCAACGGTCATCTCAAAAACAGCAATTAGTGATTAACAACAAAGAACAAATTAATTAAGCTATACTCACAACTGAGCTAGCGTTCAGGTGAGGCTCGACTCCGGTCGTGTAAAGACAGAACGAGGGCCGTCTCGACCCGGAGGCCGAATTCATCGAGCCGCCCTGGTGAAATCTCCGGCGGCGGGCGCTCTCAACGCCGGGGAGCATTCCGGCCATGGCTTCTAACGAACCGAACCCTGACGTAGCAGAGTATATATGCGTACGCTAGTAGACGTTAGCTAGGAAATAGAGTTCATTTTTTGTGGTTGGTGCTGAAAATTAAGGGGAATGAGATTGGGTGGGATAGGAGAGGAACAGGGCATGAGAACTGCATTCTTCAACTGTAACAAGGACACAGGAGGAGAGACATGATGAAAGAGACATGCATGTGGTCATTTCCCTGAAGGTTCCCCCTTTGAATGCAACAGGGCGTTGTTTATCTCCAAGAAATAAATATATTTATGTGCTACGTGCCTGTTTGGTTGAATAGAGTTTAGGAATAGGATTAAGAATCCTATTTTATTTATGAATTCCAATCTAATCCATATAAAATTTATAGATAAGTTTTAGTTTTATGGAATCCTTTTTTTTTTTGCATTCTATGTTTGTTTCACCCAAAGGATTAGGAATTTCACTTTTATAGAATTGGTCCAATTCCTAATATCATGTTTGGTTCGGAAAGAATTGGGAGATGTGTCAGAAATTGGAATAAGAATTGGGAGAGGTGTCAGAAATCACGCCCAATTCCTCTCAAAAAGAACGGATTTGAGTTTCCTGAAATTACCACTGTTTGAGCCACTTTATAGAATAGCAATTCTATAAATCATTTTTGAACCAAACTCAGGATTAGGATTCAGTTGGATTCCATTAATTACGAAAATGCCACTGTCAGGTCCAAATATCATTCCTATTCCATAAACTTGGTGAAACAAACAGGCCCTACGAGTATAAAATTGTTCTTTTTTTTTGTTTTCGGCAGCGGAGGAAACTTGGTTAGGGTGCTCATCTGTTCAAGGATGAATCCGGCTCGAATCTAACCCTTCAAAAAAAAAAAAATACAGGGAATTGAATCTCGTATCAATTCATCTCAATACCCAAAAAAAAGGGTTGGAGTGTGTGTGGGGTGGGGGGGGGGGGGGCAATCATATTTGAATCGCGCGTACCATTTCAAGAAAATTATTATTCTTAAGTTTCACTGTGATTCCGTGAGGTTTTGATAATAATGATTTTAAATTAGTAATTTAGGTCATATTGATTCGAAGCTAATCAAGCCTATACTTAAAAAGCAAATTAAAATTAGCATAGTACAGAATTTCAAAAAAATTCTAACCGAGTGTAAAATCTTGGAAACAAATTTAGAGTATAAAATATTATAATTTAATTTAGAATGCTGTATAGTTATTTTTGTTTACTAAATCAGGATATTGTAATAATCTAAGGATACACAGATTCTGACGTGCCATTAATTCAACAAGAATTATTGTTGGGTAGTTTTTTAAACTACTAAAACTTTAGAGCAAAGACATTAAAAGAATGTGCCTTGTTGTTTACGTCACCACCCTCATTTTCCTTAACCACATGCCTATGGATCTTATTGTTGATTTCTTTCTATTTTTCTTATTCTTTTCGGTTACACTAGAGATTTTATATCAAAGAAAGGGAAACATGCGGTGGTGGTGGGAAATTTGGAAGTTTGTGGGACACAAATGCAAGGATCCAAATGGCAAGTGGAAGAGATCCAACCAAAGGTCACTTTTAAAGGTAAGAGCGTTACTTGGTCATATTTATTGCCCTCTTGTTTTGTAGGGCTGGGTCTCGGGTGAGCCTAGGCTTAGTTTGGGCCCGCTAAGGTACATATGTTGAAACGAACATTTTGTACTGGCCGAGAAGTTACTATTTTAGCTCCCGAAAATGTGAATGGGTTACATTGCTTGGGATAGAAATAGGGGCGCACCTGGTCAGGATACGGCTCCAATATGATGTTTACTATGTTCATATACACTTACCCATCTCGGATATAGATATAAATATACATCGGTAAAAATTTTTATTACCATATCCGCTAAAATCGGATACGGTTAAAGATATACATGCAGATATATGAGCGGATATGCATGCGGATACAAAACGGATACGAGAAAACTATATAGTATGAATAAAAACATAGTTCATGTGATACAAAAAAGTTCATTAGTATGTTCATTATAATTGAAAAGTTAAGATTAGATATCTTGATCATCAAAATTAATCACAAATCCATAATCTAATAATCGAAACTATCGTAAGAGTATGACTAACCACAAATCCATAATCTAATAATCGAAACTATCGTAAGAGTATGACTAATATGTATTCGGATATTTCGGATACGGATACAAGAGTATGACTAATATGTATTCGGATATTTCGGATACGGATACGGATATTTCACTATAAAACCATATCCATAACCATATCCTATCGGTTATAGATTTACGTAACCATATCCGTATCCTAACGGATACGGTTACAGATATTTCCTTTGATACGGATATGGTTTAGCACCCCTAGATAGAAAGCATTTTCAAAGGAGGAACAATGTCCCAAAGTTTTGCAACATTTAGAATAAAAGCCAAATACTATAGAATTTGTTTTTTGCCCCTAAAATAGGATCAATTTCACGAAGCCCTCTAAAGTTTGGTCATTTCTCAGATAACCCCCAAAACTTTCAACATGTCACAAAACCACCTTAATTTGTGCAGGAAGCACCCTATAATTAATTGATGGGTGTTGCTTCTAACTTTCATCCGAGCATGTTTGGCAACGTTTTTGTTTTGACTTACAAGTAACTTTTTACTTATAAGGTACTAGCACTATGTTTTTTACTTATTGGTAACTTATAAGTAGAGAAAAAATAAGTTGGAATTTCCCAACTTTTTTTTTGCTTAATTATAAAGAGTTTTATTTCTTCACGCTGAAGACCAAATTACCCCTCAAAACCTCTTTATCATTCTACAGTGGATGTCTTAATATGAAATTAATTAAATAGTGTCAATATTAGTAATTAATAACAACAAATAGTGTAATATATAAAAAATGTATATAACATAATATATATAAAATATTTATAAAATATAAAATATATTTTAATTAAATATTTCATTATTATAAATAATAATAATTAATTATTTAATAAATAAATAAATAAATAAAGTTATTATTAATTGTCAATTTATTAATATGAATTTAACTAATTAACTCAATAATAGTGATTAATAGCCATAAATAATTCAATATATAGAAATATTTTGTTGTGAAATGATTATAGTATTAGCATTAATAATTAATAACAATAAGTAATGTGATATATAAAATTTATATATAATTAATATTATATTTTTAATTAAAATTTTTATTATTAACTGTTAAATAATTTTTTAATTAATAAATAAATTTATAATTGTTAATTATTTCATTAATTTGAATTTAATTAATTAATCCAAATATTATTAATTAATGACTAAGTGAAATAATCATAGTGTCAATTTTAGTAATTAATAATAATATTTAATAATGAGTTGGAATTTCCCAACTTTTTTTTTGCTTAATTATAAAGAGTTTTATTTCTTCACGCTGAAGACCAAATTACCCCTCAAAACCTCTTTATCATTCTACAGTGGATGTCTTAATATGAAATTAATTAAATAGTGTCAATATTAGTAATTAATAACAACAAATAGTGTAATATATAAAAAATGTATATAACATAATATATATAAAATATTTATAAAATATAAAATATATTTTAATTAAATATTTCATTATTATAAATAATAATAATTAATTATTTAATAAATAAATAAATAAATAAAGTTATTATTAATTGTCAATTTATTAATATGAATTTAACTAATTAACTCAATAATAGTGATTAATAGCCATAAATAATTCAATATATAGAAATATTTTGTTGTGAAATGATTATAGTATTAGCATTAATAATTAATAACAATAAGTAATGTGATATATAAAATTTATATATAATTAATATTATATTTTTAATTAAAATTTTTATTATTAACTGTTAAATAATTTTTTAATTAATAAATAAATTTATAATTGTTAATTATTTCATTAATTTGAATTTAATTAATTAATCCAAATATTATTAATTAATGACTAAGTGAAATAATCATAGTGTCAATTTTAGTAATTAATAATAATATTTAATAATGAATTATATAAAAATATTGTATTATTATATAATAATTATTATTAACTAAATATGTTTAATTTAATAAATTATTATTGCTTATTATTTTATTAATATGAAATTGATTAACTAATCTCAATATTAGCAAATTAATAACCATAAATAATGTAATAGTACCAAATATTTTAATAAAATCTATTTGTTATTATGAGATAATTAATTTTTTTATTAATTAGTTAATTATGTTATATATATAATATTTGATTAATATAAAATTAACTAATTCATATTAGTATTATAAATTAAAAATCATAATAAATTTTAACTAATAAAATTTAATTTATTTTTAGGTAATTAACAAATAATTTACTAACATTATTTATCTGCTTAATATAAAAATGAATTAATTAGTTATAATATGAGATACAACAATATATCTTTTTTGATCATTCAACAATTAAAACAACCTTGTAAGTTATTTGTTTACCAAACACATATCTACTCAAATATCCTTATAACTTAAAGGATTTATCAAACATCTAACTTATTTTTTTTACATACTTAGAAGGAGTTTCAGGAATAAGTAATAAGTAATTTATAAGAAGTCAAAAAATAAGTAGTTGCCAAATATTTTTAAGTACAGAAAGGTATTGTAAAACCCGTGGTCATTTATGAGATAACTCTTTTAACTTTCTAAACATCACAAAACCCTCAAGTTTTGTCAGAAACCCCCCTAACTAAAATTGTTAGAGGGATTTTATGAAAAATGTTTAAAGCTGATTTTTTGGGGGGGAGCGAGGGTGTTGGTTCCAAGAACCCCAAAACTTCGGGGTGTAGGTGGGGTTTGTTTGTGACAGTTTAAAAGTTAATCGGGGTTATCTGAGAAATGCCCAAAGGTAAGGATAAGTTTCATAAAATTTACCAAAAAAACCCCTTAGAATTAGCCAAATGATTAGTATGACAATTGGATTGATGAAGCAAAACCGGCCTTAGTTTTTAGGATGGAGCGTTAAGACATTATTTTGACGTGTCCTTTCCTGCAGGTTAAGCATTTTCTTTTTCTTGGATCAAAATCATAACTATTTTTTGCAATGATATTTTTTCTAAAACCCATTTTAAATGTATGCCACTGGTAAAATTTAAACTT